TACTGCAGATAAAATTGCTGTCTTATCTGTATTTAATGTGACGAGAGCAAACACTGTGAGCTTTCAGATGTCATAAGGTGATGAGATGAATTAAGTGCACACTAATCACTAACCCTATTATCCCAGTAAGTCATGATTCCACTCCTCTATGACACAGACCTAATTTAGTTAAGTATCACTAAATCTGTCACAGCAGATACCTCCTGTTGAAGACATGCAGAGTGCTCATGTTGTCCTCTCTCTCTCTCTCTCTCTCTCTCTGTAGTATGCTCTGGAGAGACTGAAGGTCATGTGTGAGGACGCGCTGTGCACCAGTCTGTCTGTGGAGAACGCAGCGGAGATCCTCATCCTGGCGGACCTGCACAGCGCCGACCAGCTGAAAACTCAGGCTGTCGACTTCATCAACTAGTGAGTTCACTCGTCGTCACTTCTTACAGATCCTCAGAAGTCCTCTGAACAGTTTGTCTCTGTTCCTTCTCCTCTTTGTCTCGCCATTGTTACTGATGACACCAGATTCACACAGCGTCACCCTCTCGCCTCCTCCCATGCTGTAATAATTGAATTTCACATGTCCCCCATGGAGGGGTCTGTCTGACATTATTAAAAGCTTCCAGAAGGATCAGGACAACCTGACTTCTCACTACCTGCCTTATGTATTGACCTAGATGAATGAGATGATAACTAACTGAACATGTGTTTGTGCTCAGCTCACACATATTGCTCCAGATTGTTTCCTTTCATTTATAGAGCTGAAACAATTATTTGATTAGTACATCGACCAAAAAAGAACCGGCACAAATCATCATGAAGATTTATTCATTTAAGTAATTTTTCTAGAAAAATGCCAAACATTGTCTAGTTTCAGTTTTCTATGATCTGTTTTTGCCCTATTATGCTTTTTGGGGTTCAGCTTTCCTGTAGTGTGTTTTATAGGTTTTTGTGCATGTAAATGGTCTGCAATGGCTAAACTCCCAAAGTTCCCCGCAGAGGGAGTTCAACACACTGAAACCTCCGTAACATTGTGACATCATAATGTAAAAATTGCGCTTCTATTGGCTAGCGCTCCAACACATTTGACGTGATAGGCTAAGGGGTGGGACATCCCTAATCAGAGCAGACTGGGCTCTGGTTTCAGACAGAGGGGGAAAAGAGGTGCTGCAGCACAGGCAGTAAATGTTAAGCGAATATTAAAGGGGACCTATTATGCAAAATCCACTTTTTCATGTCTTGTATACGTAAACATGTGTCCCCCCCTCTGTGTAAAGAGATTCTGGAAGTTTCAGGAAAAAAGATTCGCTGTCGTTGTCCTGATCCATTTATATAAAAACCTGTCGGAAAATGAGCTGATCAGATTTTGGCCACTTTATGATGTCATAACGATTTTTTGGCTTGTGTAACCATTAGCCAATCACCAAGCAAGGTAACTTCCCCCCCCCCCCCCCCCCCCCCCCCCCCCCCCACACCTTATCACCTGAATCTCCTCCTAGAGCACCATTGTGTTCTTTTTAACCAAATCTCTCTCAGAGGGGCGTGGGGAGTGGCTCCTTATTTTCATCTAAAGTAACAGACAGAGAATCAGCACTTTTGAAACAGGGCTGAAACAGAGGGGATTATGGGTAATGCTACAATGATCTGTTTGGTGTTTGGAGCCAAACACTTCAGAGACATGTTTTGTATATATCTGAGACCTATAATATATTGATGAAAAACAGTATAATAGGGGAACTTTAAAGCATGTAATTATGTCAGAGACAGACAATACAAACACAAACCTGAACATTTGCATAATATGTCCTTTTTAAATAAAAAACGTCTATAATATTAGATTCAGAGACGTTTGACACCCCTGTAATACCGATGGATCGTCCCTAATATAATGTTTTTTGTTTCGTCCTCCAGCCACGCTGCAGAGGTGATGGAGACGGCGGGGTGGAAGTCCATGGTGGCGTCTCACCCTCACCTGGTGGCCGAGGCGTACCGCTCCCTGGCCTCAGCGCAGTGCCCCTTCCTCGGAACCCCCCGCAAGCGCCTCAAACAATCCTAACAGCAAGAAGCTGACACCCATGCATACGCACACACGCTCATGCAAATACACACAAAGACACACAGACTCCCCCCCTCACGCAGGGACAACCTTTCCCCTCGCTGTTACCTAGTTCACTACCTACATCCTCCACCGGACCCCCCCCTTCTGCCCCATCCAAACCTGCTGTATTTAGTCTCTTCTAAAGACAGAGGGAAGAAGGAGGAAGAGGAAGTGGAGGTGAAAGAGAGGGGCAGGTGCTGGTGAAGTGGATGTTTGTTGTTTACAAGAATAAACACAATACCCCTCCCCCTTTCTCCTCGGCTCGGGCCCAGTGAGGTATGACATTGTGCTCCTATCTTTGTGTGAAAACCAAACCCCTCGACACCCGTTAGTTCCTACTTTGGAATCCGTTCGGGAGGAAGGACTGGACACCAAAACCCCAAAAGAGCCAACTGTCAGGGGATGAGGAGGATTAAAGGACACGTGCAGATACATTAAGCTGTGTATTTTATCATAAGGCTACTTTTTGCTCTGTTTGGAGTCCGAGATGCCCCCAAACTCACGAAGAAATGGGCCTGTTAGTTACAAACTAGAAGCCCCCCCCCCCCCTCCCCTGAGAAAGACAACAAGGGCTAGTCTAAAAAGCAGATATGGGACAAACTTAACGTTAATTCTCCTTGAGAAAGTTGGAGAAACATTGCACTAAAGTCACAGGTCACCCCTTAAGAACCCTTACCAGCAGTAAAGTAGTAATACTGTAGGCAAGCACATACTGAAGAGAGCTTCATGGACTAAAGACCCAACAGGACCACCAAGAACAAGAACCCTTTAAGAAGACAGACACAACACATGTACTCCAAAAACTCTGCTTCATTCGCATCCGTTTTCATTTTTTTTAAAAGCTGGGAAGAAACAGTATAGAGAGGGTACAGAAAAGCAACTGGACGTCATTCTTGGGGAAATTGTATTTTGTGTGTGGATCTGTTTTTATAGCCTTGAGAGGAAAACATATCTCAAGGTTTCGACGGACAAACCAACCAGGAGGCAACAAATTGTGGGAAAAAAATGGTCGGATTTCAAACTAGAATTGAGATTGAATCAGGCATGTTGATGTTATTTTATGACGGATTTCTTATTTGTTTTTTCCCCCAGAACTGTAATTTCTATTTTTTTCATAGGAATTTGTACAGACACCAGTGATTTTGAAGCTGGGTAAACAAAAAGCATCTTCCACCGTGAAATTGAAAAAAAAAGCGGACTTGTTTTCTTTGCAGGCATAAAGACTGAGGGGAAATTGAAATGAACACGTTTTAATGTTCAGAAGAGACCGAATGTGAAGAGATGCACACCGAGGCAAACCACATGAAATACATTTGAAGTTATCATTTCAAACTCGCGGAAAATGGTAATGATCGAAGGAACTGTCGTTTCTTTCCTGTAGATATCGCTGGTTATGAGAAGTGACACTTAGTTGTTGCCAATTTTTTGTTCCCAAAAGATTAAATCACAACTATTTTGTATTGAATGCAATGCAAACTTTGTCTGGTATTTTTGTCTGAATTGTTTATTTATTCTTTTCAGTCTGTCTCATTAAACAGGCGTTTCATTTAGAGATGATTATGGGACTCCACAGATCACCTCCTAAGGAAAGGTATCAGGCAGAAAGACCGGTGTTTAAAGACATTTCATTTGATGACTCAAGTTTTTAAATCTTCTTTAAATTAGAGTGGCATAAACCTAATCATGATTAAATCTGGGCATTTTAGTGTGTATGTTTTTTAAATCCCTTTACTGCATATGTAATTAACTTTTAGGAGATGTTAATATTTAATGTATCCTTTTTTTCAATTTGCACTTTCCAAAACATGAACAACTTCCTAATTTCTTTCTATGATAAAAACACTGGAGTGAAATTTGGACGAAAGGCAACCAAAGTGCTGCAATGCAAGTCATTACATTTACCCAAACACTTAATCTGAGGAACTTGACTTAAATACTTAAGTATTTCCATTGCATTGCACTTCTACCCCTCAACATTTTCAGGTATATTTCTTTACTCCACTTTAATGATGTGAAACCTTTAAGGATTAACATTTCCAGTAAGTATATGTTGGTCTTAAAAATTCGGACAGATTAATACATAAATATAGTATATATCATACTATGATAAAACTGCATGTGTAGTATGAGAGTTTATTAACTAATGTTTTAGCTTTGCTGTTGCAGGCCCGATTTACTTCAGTCTTCGTCACCATGGAGGAATGAGAGAAATACGTTTTCTTCACAAATTCAAGGTAGCAAATGGTGAGTTGTTGATATACAAATGTTTATTTTGAAGTATTTCTTTAATAGGGTTGATTGCTTCACATACATGTCCTTAACATTTGGCAACATTTGGCAAAAGTGTAAATTGATATGCAAAATAAGAACGTTGCAAATGCATGGGACATCCTGACTATACAGTATACATATATAGTCTTATTTCTTAAGTATTACAAACTAACTTAACTATATCACACCTTACAAACCAAAACTTGCTATTGTCTAGTATCGGCAGATATTAGTATGTGTAGAGCAAAAGTAATTACTTTATTCAATTCATATTTTGAGAATCATTCATGCCATTTAAAGAGAATAAAATACTAAATATGATTTATCTCCTCTCAGGATTATCTGCATTGCCTTATGTTTAAGGTTTTCATGAGCATTATTCACAACTTTCATAAAAACTAAAGGATAAATTGAAAAGTATAATTTAAAAAACAAACAATCGCCACATCAATCAATAATGAAAATATGTGTTTGTTCCACCCCTAATACTGTGCATTTCATAAAAACAGTCTAAGACAACTCGTGTAGTCTAGAACAAGCAGATATTGGACTAAAACATATACTTCAAAGGCTGATCAATGGTAAAACAAGCATTCACTTGAATTGAAACTGGATGTATTGGAGTATTCTCTTTGCCCTCTGGTTAACCTGTGGGCAGGTAGGCTCCTGGGTTGTGGGAGCTGTAGTCCGGACACACTTTCTGCACCAGTCTGTAGTCGGTGCTGTAGAAAGAGACGTAGATGCAGATGACCTGGAAGGGCTTGGAGCACATCCAGGTGACGTGGCTCTGCGTCTGCTCCTGAGCGCAGGTCTTGGACGGGTCGTAGTTACACAGCATCACCTTTTTGTTGCGCTCCGTCTTCTCGTAGTCCACCCTGCAGTTGAAGGTCTTGGACTCTTTGGGGTTGACCACACTCTGGCGCTCCAGATCAAACTCTACCTCCTTCATTGGGGGCACGAGGCTGACGGACACGTTGCCCACCCCTGTGGAGTTGTGGCGGAAGTAGACTCCCAGAGAGCCGTTCCCGTGATCCACAATCTTTCCCATTATCAGCAGATTCAGTTTGACCGTTTTAATGTTTGAGTAGAAGTCCCCCCAGCTGAACGTCCTGGAGAACTTGGAGGCCCCATGGACTTTCATGATGGGACGGAGCTTTATCTTTAAGGATGGGTTGGAGTGTGACTGGGAGTTTCCTCCGAGTATTTCCAGAAGTCCCTGCTTAGCATGGGGGCCGGTGAGGGGGAGTTTGGTGTTCAAATGTCCAGTTTGGAGCGCCGAGTCTTTCTGTGAAGAAGGGTCTTCAGATGGTGCTCTCTTGCTGAAGGAGACTTTATCCTGATGTTGCCCAAGAACAAACTAGACAGGAAATCAGGAGAGAAATGTGAATGTTAAGTACAAGGGGACATAAATGTTTAGATTCAGTTTATATTCATTAAGAATATCTATTCTACGTTACACTACTGTCCAAAAACATAAAAGTGATGTGTCCAAAATAGAAATGTATTGACTTAACAACATACAGACTACTGTATATCTAACTACACACATACTGTTGTTAGATCAAACTCCAAAAATGCATTTAATTATTTTGACATGTAACTGCAAAATAATTCATCATTTTACAGGGTTATATCATGGTATAATAAAAGGTCACGGCTGAAAATAGGCTAATTTAGTTAAAAAATAATTAGAATGCAAAAGATTGGTACACTTTCTTAACAAATACACTTTGCTACTCTCCACCTGCTTGCTCGTTCTTTCCCTAACATAACACCGGTGTGAATGATGTCCTTGACTTACCAAACCAAAGGTTCCTTCCAGAAGTATCCAAACAAAGTACCGTGGGGCGAACATCTCCATACTGCATGAATCCCTGTCTTAAGATCCATCCATTCACCTGGACTTCCTTCAGGATGAGTACAGTTATAAGTCCATGTTGAAATGCTCCTTCATTTGAAAGTCTGGGAGAGTTGTTCCTGCAGAAACCCTCCTGTGTGCTGCATCTCCCTCGCAGACACACTGGGAGGCTTTTTCAGATCTCAAGGTTTTTATCACTCAGTTTTGCTGTGTCTCCCCCCTCTCTCTCTCTCTCTCTCTCTCTCTCACCCTCCCTCACACACACTCACATTCCCCTTTCTTTAAAGATATGCAGTGTTAACAATAACCCCTCTGGATGTCCAGCCTGTTGTCCCCCTCCCTTTCTCTCTCCATCACTGGAAAACATCTTGCATTATCTTCTAGGTGATGAAATATAAAAATTGACACTTTTTAAAATGAGGATTTATTTTTGATGAATTTGACTGTCACTGCCCCACTGTGGCCTGAGAGCGAAGTGCAGACTGAGCTGGAATAATACAAATTGACTAGCGGGTATATTGCACGCACACCTTCACTCAATCCTGAGGATTTCGTCAGCTCAGAGCCTGACCCCAAACATTGATGAACTTGCACCCAAGATGAGATGCCAAGTATCTGGCTTGAACTAGCATCACCGAGCAGCAAACGGAGTTTAAATGGATGTTTCCTTTTGCACTTTTTTTCTTGCGACAACAGGGCATGTTTGTTTTTTTCTTTGACGGAAATTGTTTTTTGAAGCTGTTGTTGGCCTGTGGAAAAATGTAATCATAAGAAATTATGAAAAGCTGCAGATAGAGCCATAAGAAATGAATGCAACTGATTATTTAATGTTTAATGGGCAGTAATTTAAGCTTTGTTAGTTCCAGGTTTAATATGTGCAATAAGTTCATTTCAATAAGTTTTGCAATAAACATTGAACCAGTCCGGCCCTCGACTAGTACCGATTTTTAAATGTTGGCCCACTGTGTATTTGGGTTTGACACCCCTGGACTAGCAACTATAATTCTAAACAAAAATAAAACAGAAACATATTTATGGCATACTAAACAATGACATTTTTTATTAAAAGTTATAAGAATTTATTGTTGTAAAGCTTGTCATACATTTGTTGCAAAAAAGTTAGTACAGTCTGAAAAAAAGTCTTAAATGTGTCATATTTGTTCTTTAACAAGTAATAGAAATTTGTAATATGCCATACAATTGTACAGAAATGTAATAGAAGCATGATGAAAGTCTGCAATAAAATAAGTTATAGTATGATATAAAAGTATAAAATATAATTTAAAAAAAACTACAAAAAGGTCCAAAATGTTATATAAAATAATCATAGCCATTCAAAAAGGTCGTAAAAAGGTTCAGAGTTTAGCATGTAAAAAAATCAAAGCATAGTATATCATAATATTGAATAGAAATGTTGTAGACGCCAAAGAATAGTTTCATTTTAAACATTAAAGTCATAGCATGCACTAAAATATATTAAGAATGGAATAAAAAAGATCACATTGTAGTTTTTTATAAAGAGGGATTAAGTAAAGTACGACAAATGTCATCAACAAAGGCAGATTAAGGGCGGAGGCTGCACGAAGTGACAATCCATCATCAAGCCTTTCTTGCATTGTTTTTTCTAAGTGGCTTAAATGAATTCCAGCGTGTGGCTCTGAACCAACTCAGAGACGTGACTGACGGCCACCTGGCACATCAGAGATCTCTGCAGCCGCCGCCTTCCTGTAACTCCATCGACACTTGATTACATGAAGTCACCTAATAGTGTAAACATATTTTTTATCAAAATAACAACCTGAATCATTTAAACTCCTAATTTGCCTCATAAAGGTGGAGATAAGCATGTGATATGATTCCAGTAGAGGTAGTTTAATTCATTCACCTGCTGCAGATTTGATATTTTTGGGTCATTTGGATGAATTTGCACCTGGAGAATGTCCCGCCTCCTGTCAGCCTGCTTTTGCTTGTTACGAAGGTCATGTTGCATGGTTTTGTTTAGTTGCATTAAGTTTCTAAGGACAGAGTTACGATAAGGAAGCGGAATAAAAGGGTATCTATTTCAGATCGGGACAGATTTTGGAAAGCTATCAGCACTTTCCTGTTAGCTGTGCATCAGAGCAACAAGTGTGTTCAAGTTAAAACAAAAAAAACGAGTTTCCTGATTACCATAAGCCTTAATAAAAACTCTTCGCAGTTGATACTCAAACACATAAAGGTAATGATTACTAATACATAATCTGTACATCATAAGCCTAATGCATTAACCTGTAATACAAGAGACCAGAAAACTGACAAGAAGATACACAGACGCTTTAAAAAGGAACTGTTTTGTCTTCATCAATACGATCATTTTGATCATATGATCATATAATAAACTTAGCAGCACTTCCGTATTGATTGTTGGTTTGTGTTTCTGGGTTTCGGGAGCCTTTTAGATATCCAGGTGCTTTCAAGAGCATAGTGGATTTTAAACCTTTTCCGTCAACTTAATAACTAGTTCTTAAGGGGCTTCATGTTAATTAATAATGTGGAATTTGAAGGATGCAATTGCTCAGATAAAACACAGCACATAAACTGAGACTGCATTACAGATCAGTGTGGGAGTTTAAAGGCGTGAGACGTGTGTGATGAGTTTTGAAGGACTGCATTTATAACATATTTTAGATATTTTTGGAAGTGTTCCTTGTTTGGGCGGCCCACTTTCTTCTTTAAATGTTCGTCCCTGATGTGTACGGTAAAACACGCACACATCAAGTTGACACTTCATCAGACACACCTAGCTTATTAAAAACTGCTTTATTGCATTGAAGTGAGCTTGTTTATTAGCTTACCTGTTGAAGTTGTAACACACAAAGGGAAATCATATTTGGAGTCCACATTTATGCAATACTTAACTGACTGACTGTCTGTGTTTATTATACTGGAATTATTGTTTTGTTGCACAATTTACTACACTAACGCATTTATGTTACCATGTAAATTCAAATGTCAACACAAACAAACAGAAAAACACACCTATCAAGAAAATGGTGTTTCTTTTTTTAAAACACTTTAAATCTGTCTTTTTTTCTTCCTGGGCCAAAATGCCTTGTTGATGCCAGAGGTCAGAGGAGAATGGTTCAAGATGGTAGAAAGGCAACAGATGTGGACTCCAAATATGATTTCCCTTTGTGTGTTACAACTTCAACAGGTAAGCTAATAAACAAGCTCACTTCCCTGTTTAATGCAATAAAGCTCACCTGCAGGTCAATATAATGATTGATGCAGTTTGTACTAAGCTAGGTGTATCTGATGAAGTGTCAACTTGATGTGTGCGTGTTTTACCGTACACATCAGGGACGAACATTTAAAGAAGGAAGGGGCCTGCCCAAACAAGGAACTTCCAGAAATATCTAAAATATGTTATACACTTCAAAACTCATCACACACGTCTCACGCCTTTAAACTCCCACACTGATCTGTAATGCAGATAGTCTCAGTTTATGTGCTGTGTTTTATCCGAGCAATTGCATCCTTCAAATTCCACATTATTTAAACTAACATGAAGCCCCTTAAGAACTAGTTATTAAGTTGACGGAAAAGGTTTAAAATCCACTATGCTCTCGAAAGCACCTGGATATCTAAAAGGCTCCCGAAACCCAGAAAAACGTTTGACTTAAACACGAACGCACCATTGGTTTTAAGACCCACCTCTTTTCCCTCGCTTTCGAGTCAGTCTGAGCTCTACCTATTTGTATGCTTTTATTGTCTGTTGCATGTGCCTTATATTTGAAAAGTATAATTTTAAAAAACAAACAATTGCCACATCAATCAATAATGAAAATATGTGTTTGTTCCACCCAGTGGCGTCGCCTGGCCTGGGCATCCGGGGCTTTAGCCCCGGATGTTTTTTCTGTAGCCCCGGACAATTCTCCCTCAATAATATAATACATTAACCGTGCTTTACGTGAACCTCATCATGACACAAGAGAGGACGGCAGCACTGTAATTTCCCGTGTTCATTGAATGCAACAGAGGCATGACACCAGACCAATCAGAGAGTTGCATGGAAATAAACGTGTGCTTGTGTCATTCAAGCTCGGCTCTGTGTGTGTGTGTGGCAATAGCGCACAGTGATAGAGAGAGAGAGAGAGAGGGAGGGGTGTTGTTAGCATCTGGTTAGCTAGCTGCACTAACGGACACATGGAGCTGTTTGTTCCACAAGAAGCTGGAGGAGAGTCCTCTCCTCTCAGACTGAGAGACTCAGGTGAGCTAAAGGACTCTCTGAGTGTTTAGATAGTTAACTTTAGTAAGTTATCTCAGTGGGTCTCAAACGGTTTGGTCACAAATTATTCAAAAGATTATTTCCGCGGCACACCTTCATATGATCATTATAGTTATAAAAAAAATAAGAGAATAAAGGAAAAACAGTTATGAAATACTATATGGCAGTAAAACAAGAATAGAGTTTAAAAGGGGAGTGATTAGTAAAATATCCATAAAGAAAAAGTACATCTGTTTACAGTTCTGCTTCATATGGGTGTTGAGAGAGGTATCCATAGGTCTCTTCATTTTGCTCTCAAAGTTCACCAGATTGATGCATCTAACTTCAATATTTAAAAAAAAATCTTCCCGGGGGAGCATCCCCCCAGACCCCCCTAGAGGAGGTGAGCCCCCCACTCATAAAAAATACCACTTTACCCCTGCCTATATGCCGTGAGCTGATTATCGAGCCTTCATTGTAACAGTCGCGGGTGTACTGTGTGTGTGCGTGTGGGGAGTGTTGCAGTGAAAAATGCCACTGTAGTGCCGCCGCCACTGTGGGCTAAGCCCCGAATGTTTTCAGGTCCAGGCGACGCCCCTGGTTCCACCCCTAATAGTGTGCATTTCACAACATATATTTATTCTTATGTGTGCCTTTTATCTATTCTTATGCACCTTTTATCTATTCTTATGTGTGCCTTTTATCTATTCTTGTAATATTATATTTTATTATAATGTTATGTTCATTGTGAAGCCCTCTGTTTTTTAAATGTGCTATAGATTGGATTGGTTTTAAAGTTTGTTCTCATTTGGGGCACATGTAAGAAGCAGGCTTACTGTCTCTGAAAAGATCCTGAAAAGAAAGCACTTTGAT